GCGCCAGCATCAGCGGAATCGTGATTTTCAGCATCAGCGTCATTCGCCAACGTCATCGTCATCTTCGTTTTCGTAACCCTCATCATCATCACCCTCATCATCAAGATCAACCAAAAATCACCGTCATCATCATCGTCATCGTCGTCGTCATCATCATGATCGCCAGCATCATCATCGCCATCGTCATCGTCATCGTCATCATCATCATCGTCGTCGTCCTCGTCATCGTCATCATCGTTATGATTCTCCTCTTCCTCCTCCCCCCCTCCTCATCATCATTCGCACCACCGCCAGCACCACCATCATCATCAGCATCACCACCATCATCATCAGCAGCATCATCATTATAATCATCGTCGTCATCATCCCCATCTCATCATCATCACCACCATCATCATCGTATTCGCCGACATCGTCTGCATCATCATCGTCATCGTCATGGTCATTGTCATCGTAATCGTTATGATCATCACCATCATCGTCAGCAGCATCATCAGCAACGACCTCATCAACATCGTCGTCACCGTCAGGATTGATGAACAAAAGGGTATCCTGGGCATCGTCAACATCATAATTGTCATCACCAACGTTCCGAATAGCTGCCAGGGCATCCCATTGCGGTGATGATGTGAAATCCCACGAGACCGCTGGGCGCAAATACAATACGGGGTCATATATTCCCTCCTCCTCCTCTTTCCCCCTCTCCTCCTCCTCTCTCCTCCTCGTTCCCCCTCCCCTTCCTCCTGCCTGCTCCTCCTCTTTCCTCATGTATCCTCCTCCTCCTCCTCCTCCTCCTCCTCCTCCCTCCTCCTCCTCCTCCTCCTCCTCCTCATCTCTCCTCCTCCTCCTCTCTCCTCTCTCCTCCCTCTCCTCCTCCTCCTCCTCCTCCTCCTCCTCCTCCTCCCCCACCTCCCCTCTCCCCCACCTCCTCTCTCCTCCTCCTCCTCTCCTCCCCCTCCCCCTCCTCCTCCTCCTCCTCCTCCTCCTCCTCCTCCTCCTCCTCCTCCTCTTCCTCCTCTTCCTCCTAATCCTTCTCCGTCTCCCCATAGACGCGATGCTTCAAACATGCGCGTATCTGCTATGCAGTGCTATGCTATGAAATGCGATGCTACGCAATGCTATGACTCAAAAACCAATGCAATGCTGTGCTATGATATGAAATTCGATGCTTTGCAGTGCTATGACGTGCTATGCAGTGCTATGCTATGCTGTGATGCAATGATATGCAGTGGTTTGCTCCGCCATAGCTATGCAGTGCTATGCTTAAATATGCTATGCAGTGCCATGCTATGATACGCTATGAAGTGCGATGGAGGAGGCGGCCACTACCTTGAGTACCGTTGAAGTCAGCCCAGGCGGAAGGCGGCGGAAAGGTGGCGGAAGGACGGCGGAAGGGCGGCGGAAGGGTGGCGGAAGGGCGGCGGAAGCGCGGCGGAAGGGCGCGGCGGAAGGGCGGCGGCAGGGCGGAAGGGCGGCGGAAGGGCGGCGAAGGGCGGCGGAAAGGTTGCGGAAGGGCCGCGGAAAGGGCGGCAGAAGGGCGGCGGAAGGGTGGCGGAAGGGCGGCGGAAGGGCGGCGGAAGGGTGGCGGAAGGGTGGCGCAAGGGTGGCGCAACGACGGCGGAAAGGCGGAAAAGGCAGGGGGGGACGGCGGAAAAGCGTTGGAAAAACGGCTGGCTTCCCGAGCCGTCACGGGAGGAATTTCCATGGAATTCCTGCAAATCCTGGACATAGAAAGACCAGAACCCAGAAACTAAAGAAAAGCCGAGACGCCAGGAACCCAGGAGTCGTTGAAACTCGGAGATTTCCTGGGATCCATATAAATCAAAGAATCTATAGAACCCCCGAAGTGTAGGAAATCAGAAATCCAGGAACGCGGCATGCGGAGTCCAGGACTTTAGAAATCTCAAGAATCCAGAGAAACCGAATAGTAATCCTTTAGGAATCCTTAGGAATCTCTTCGGAATCCTAAGGGGTCCTTAGGAATCCCGTCGGAATGCTTCGGGTCCCCAGGAATCTGTAGGAATCCCTCGGGGATCCCCAAGACCCCCTGAGGAACCTTCGGAATCCTCACGGCCCCCTGAGGAACCGCTGGGAATCCTGAGGATTCCCTTAGGAATCATCGGGGATCCTTTGGAAACCGCAGGGACCCCTCAGGAATATCTGAGAATTCTTGGGGGTCCGGAGAGGCGCGTGCGAAACGGTGTACATAGTATGGCATTCCGACACCCTGCCCGCTCTGTCGGGGCCTCCCTTGTCCCCCCTTTTTCCTATCCATGTTCTCTCCCTTTCCCCTCCCTGTTTCAATTTTTCATCGCTTTTCCTCCCCACGTCCTTCCATATTCCCTCCCTTTTTTCTTTCCTCCCCCTATCCTTATCCCTCCTTTTGTCCCTCCCATTTTCCTTCCCTTTTCCCTCCCTTTTCCGTCCCTTGTCCCTTCCTTGTTCTTTATGTGTTCCATTCCTTTTCGCTCCCTTTTCCTTCCCTTTTTCCATTTCTTTTCCCTCCCGTTTCCTCCCCACTCCTTCCATTTTCTATCCTTTGTCGTAAATGTTCCCTCCCGTTTCCCTTCCTTGTCCTTCCTTTCCCTGCCGTTATCCCTTCATTTTCCTTCCTTTCCCTACCGTTTTCCCTCCCATTTTCCCTTTCTTCCCTTTTCCCTCCTCGCTTTCCCGTCACTGTTTCCACATCTTTTCCCTTCCTTTTCCTCCCATGTCCTTCCCGCCCTTTTTCTTGCCTTTTCCTTCCCGTTTCCCTCACTTTCCCTCCCTCCCTTTCCCTCCCTTTTTCCATCTCTTTTCCCTCCGTTGTTCCCTGTCTTTTCCCTCCCTTGTCCCTCCCTGTTTCCCTATATTTTCCCTCCCTTTTCCTTCCCTTTTTCTTTCCTTTTTCCAACCCTTTTCCTTCCCTGCCCTTCCCTTTTGCAACCCTCCCTTTTCGGCTTTTCCCGGGCCGAATGAAGGGCAGGGGCGGCCCGCGGTATCAATTAACTTCGGAGTTAAGTGATTTTGCGGCTGGGTGGAAGCAACACTCATAGAGTGACTTAACTGCGGAGGTAAGTCGTCGTGAAGGTGGTAGAAATACAAGAGGAGAGAATCACTTAACTTCGGAGTTAAGTGATAATTACCTTCCTGGTTTCAGTTTTTTCCCAGCCATAAGGGCGCCGATCCCAAAAGGGCGTTGCAAACCAAAGGAGCGCCGAAAACCAACGGGTCCCGGAAAAAAGACACAAGCGCCGAAAACCCAAAAGCGCGCCGAAAACCACAGGGGAGCCGAGCAACACAAGGGCGCCCAAGGCCAGAAGGGCGCCGAAACTAAAAAAAATGCCGAAGACCAAAAGGACGCAGAACACCAATGATACGCCGGAAACCAAAAAAGGTCGTAGACAACCAGCAGGACGCCAAAAACCAACGTGAGGACACACGCTCCGCGCACTCGCACCAAGCGCACCAAGCGCAAGCTGGGCCCACCCGCCGTTAGACCCCCCCCCCTCCCCCCTGCGCGAGTCATCTTTACATGCAAGGGATTCGCCCCCCCCCCCCCCCCCCCCCCCCCCCCCCCCCCACACACACACACACACACACACACACACACACACACACACACACACACACACACACACACACACACACACACACACACACACACACACACACACACACAAACACACACACACACATACACACACATACATACACACACACATTGGATCCCCCTCGGCGGGCCTCGTGGGCACGCGAAAGCACGTGCCCCGCGCGCACGCAGAAGCATGCCGTCCCCCCCCCCCCGCGCACGTCCTCTCGCGCGCCCAAGGAGACTGCGCCACCTGCAGGCTGGGTCCTTCGCCTGCGGCCCCGTCGCGGCTCTAAGCGCGTGAGAACGCATGCTCCGCGCGCACGCGCCAGGCGCATGTTTCGGGCCCCCTTTTTGCAAAACTCCTGACAAGGGCAAGCCTGGGCGAACCTTCGGCCACGGAAAAACAACAAAAGGAAGGCATACCTTCGAACTCCCCCCCATCGGCAACGCATTCCCAGGTGCTGGAGGAATAAAGGGGGGAGGGGCTTCCGAAGCACCCCCCCTTTAAAATGGAAACCTGGGCGAACCTTGGGCTCCGGAAAAGGAGGGAGGGGGGGGGGCGTCCGAAACGCCCCCCCTCTTGGCAAGGCAATCTCGGTTGGGGAAGTGTGGGGGGATAGCTTCCGAAGCCCCCGTCCCCCCCCTCTGAAAGGGGAGCCCGGGCTGACCTTGGGCTCCTGAAGTGGACGGAGATGGGGAGTTAGCTTTGAAGCACCCCCCCTTGGCAAGGCAATCTCAGCTGCGGGGTAGCTTCCGAAGCCCCTCCCCCATCTTTGAAAGGGGAGCCTGGGCTAACCTTCATTTCCGAGAAAGGGCAGGGGGGGATCTTCCAAGCCCTCCCCCTTTAGCTAGGCCCCCCTAGCTCACAAATGCCGACAAAAGGGAGGGGGGGTAGCTTTGGACCCCCCCAGCCCCTTTTCCAAGGGAGAGGGGGTAGCTTGAAGCTGGGCCCCCCTTTCAATAAGAAGTGTTCCACGAGCGCGCTCGTTCAAACCTTCAGAGGCCGCAAGAGGCCGAATGAAGCCAGAGGATGCCCTGGGAGGCAGCAGAACATCCAGCAGGCACAATGTCCCAGGAGGCCGAAAGGGGCGCCTTCCAGGAGGCTCCAAAGAGGCCCAATGATGCACACACCCAGACCCAATTATACTCAGACCCGTTCATGGCTCGTGCTCTTTCGTGCTGAGATACGCATGCTCAGGTTCACTCACATTCAGGCCCACTGATACCCAGTCGATATCGCCAAGACGCCTTTCATACTTTGAGAGCGGTAATCAGGCACACTCATACTCAGATTCGCTCACATGCGGATTCACCCATACTCAGCCACTCTCGTTCAAAATCGCTCGTGCAGAGTTGCTGGCAAGCAGGAGCTCAAAGTCAGCATCGCCTAACACATAATTCAATGAAAGGCTGCGGGCAAGCCCACCTGAGTTGCAATACGCCTCAATGTTGGCGGAACTCCCTTTCGGCTCTTCCTGACGAGCGGCCCACGCGGAGGAAGAGAAGGGAGAAAGGGAGGGAGAAAGGAGAAAGGGAGGGAAGGGAGGGAGAACGGAAGGGAATCGAAGGGAGGAAGAGGAGCCAGGAGGGAAGGGAGGGAGAGGGGCGGCGAGGAACAACGCGCCGCTGTCTCGACGGTCAAGGAAGGGAGTCAGCAAGTCAGCGTTTGCTTATTCGGCGTTTCGACCCTGTGCGGAAGGGGGGAGGGGGGGGTCTGGCTCCGGACCTCTGCTTAGTGCGGCTGTTTGGGACCGTGCGTCCTCTGGGTGAGACTCCGCCTGCTCTAAAAGCGCAAATAAAAACAGCCAAGATCTACTTTATGGAGGGGGGGGAACGTGGGGGTGCGAGGGCCCGCGCCGATCGGCAAAACAATGATGAAAACAAATCAAAAGAATTCAAGACACATGAGGCCGTACTGTTACGCGGCGTCGCTCGCGATTGTCCGTGCTGGGACGAAGCACGGCACGGAGAAGCACAGGAGCGTGCATTCGGGACTGGAGGGCACCTGGACATCTGCTAGCTATGACCGCGCTTCACCGACGAGCAGAGAACGTTACAATGAGTGCCCTCATGCAGAGGACTCGTTCACGACAGGAGCCAGGCGGAGTCCAGGCAACTCACGGCGTCTTGCTGGCTACTCCTGGCTCCTTTTACCACCTCTCGTCCCCTCTTGCTGCATCATGTCCCTGTATGCATGCCACGCCATGCACGCATGAATCACATACATCCATCCTCCGTACCTATACGACCACCCTTCGGGTGATGAGGAGGTTGTGGGGGGGGGAAAGGGGGGGGGGGAACCAACATCTGACTCAATCGATCTCACTATCGATCTCACTATACGGGACACCACAGGACACCACGGGACACCACGGGACACTTGTCGATCTCACTATCGATCTCACTATCGATCTCACTCAACGGGACACCACGGGACACCACGGGCCACCACGGGACACCGCGCGGGACACCTCTCGATCTCACTATCGGTCTCACTATCGATCTCACTCAACGGGACACCAGAGGACACCACAGGACACCACGGGACACCTCGGGGCACCACATCGATCTCAGTATCGATCTCACGACCGATCTCACTCAACGGGACACCACGGGACACCGCGGGACACCTGCCGACATCACTATCGATATCACTATCGATCTCACTTTTTGGGACACTACGGGACACCACGGGACACCTCGGGGCACCATATCGATCTCAATATCGATCTCACTACCGATCTCACTCAACGGGACACCACGGGACACCACGGGACACCGCAGGACACCGCGAGCCACCGCCGGACGGACGGACGAGAACGAAACAGTTGTCTTGACTTCGCCCTAGAAACGGCGGACACTACGGGACACCACGGGACACCGCTGGGGCCACCGCTGGACGGACGCACGGACGGACGGACGGGGCAGCAACATGTGTCTTGACTTCGCCCTGGCAACGGCCGGTTTATTCCTCTCGCGCGCCCACGCAGCTTCGCCTCGCCCGTGCGCACGACACGAACGAAACGAAACGGTTTCCTGGTTGGGGGTCTCCGTTCCACTGCGATCTCACCCCCCAACCTCCGATCATCCTGCCTGATCTCGCCTCATATTGCGTCATCATGCCTCCTCGTGCGTACTGTTTTTTCTCGTGTCCTCCTAACCCTCCTTCTCATCTACTTCTTCCCCGCGCTCCTGTTCCCTCCCGCTCCCTCCTTTTCCTCCACGTTCCTCCTCTTCTTCTTTGTCCTCTTGCTGCCTTCTCGGTCTCGTTATACCCGTCCTAGGGTCCTAGTCCTCAGCCTCATCCCCTTTCTGCTCATTCTCCGCCTCCTCATCCTTCTCCAGACCCTGCTGCGCTCGCTCTGCTCCTGCTGCTCCAGGCTGGTGCTGCGCCTCCTCTACTTCTGCTCCCCCCTCCTTGTCCTCGCCCCTCCTGCTGCTCTTGCTGCTGCTGTTGCTCCTCCGCCTCCTCGCCATGGCTTGCCCCTCGTTGCCGTGCCAAACAGCGGGCAGCACTGGGCAGCAACAAGCGAGAAGCTGCAGCCGGCAACCAAAGAACTATCCTGGTCCTGCCCATCTCTTCCGCATCCGCCTCCGTGATCCATTTCTCGACCAAGAGCCTCGCGCTCTTGCCTGGCAGCGGATGGTAGCTGCAACTCGCGAGCCACCTTCGTATCATCGTGCGTCATCTCCCCCCTCACGGGCAATGAACGTCAAAATGCCCACATCGAAGCGTGCTAGTGTGGATCCCAAACGCCGGTGGTGCCGAGGGGGTAGTGCAGCCGACAACTCTTGCCAAGGTAGGCTGCTCTGACTCCGCATGCACACGCTAATGCACCAGCAGTAACTTGCACGAAAAAAACATCTGCGCGCGGCACACTGCGCAAGCTGCTTAGCGAACGGCGGCCTCAATCGATGTGTGGTTGGGACGATCTACGCGGTCCCAACCAAGTCTCGCTGCGATTTAAGTAGAGATAGTTTGCAAGGCAAGGGTACAATGTCGTCGTCGGGCGTCGATGCTACACCACCTGGCCCGCAAAACTTATTGGCCCAGGCCGAAACCAGATAAGGATGCATGGCAACATTGGCAAAACCCCTAATCCAGGTTAGGAACCCAAGCTGTCTGTCAATGCTCCGCCTATCAACGACATGCCTTAGATTGCCATGCCTTTCTCCTGCCTGAACTGGCTTGCCCTCCTTGGCTTGACTCCCCACGGCCAAGGTCTGATTTAGACTACCCGCTTCACCTGCCTGTGAGTGATGCGCCGTCTACGACGCGTAGCGATGACTTGTGGCCTTATCGTTTGCGCGTCATGTGATTGCCAATATTTCCTGGCCTTACCTGCTGCTGCATTGCTATCATTGTTAAGCATTCACTGTGACATTCCATGTACCATGCATCACTTTGCATTGCCTTGCTGTGGATGAATTGCCTTGCCTTGGGCATTCAATTGTGGTCCTACCTTGCTGTGCTTGCTTCCCGTGGGCATGCCTCGATTGCCACGCAATTTCTCCAAACACTTGTATGAGCAATGTGCCCCTGGTTCGCCGTACTTCGCCTTTCTCAGCGCTGCCTGGCCGTGCCTCGCATGAACTCACGTCTCAGTGTTTTGTATTGTATCGTCTCGCCAAGCTCCTCCCTCGTTGGACTCCTAATGTAATAATTCAGTGGAGCGGCTTGAAAAAAACACGCCCACGCGCATCAACATCCACCAACCAACTGCGGGGGCACTGGGCTGAGCGAAGAAAGTGTTCTTAACCGCCAACATATCAGCATCATGGCAACAAGCTTTCCTAGTATGAACAACTCATGACGACTGGCAAATGATAAAACGAATGATCTGGATAAATGTCCAACTTTGCCCCCTGCACAATGCATCGACGATCCGAAAGACGGATGTCTATAACATCAAAGACAACGTAATACGAAATGCCCCCACCCGTGAGACATCCCACTAGCCCGCCAGTCCAAAGTGTGCTCATCTGGATAATATTCATCCAAAACGACAGCCTTGGAACGTGAATTCCCTCACCAACCCCTTTCCCAGTGGTGTGGCTGGGGGGGACGCGGCTAGTTGGAGCGTCCAAGATGACCTCAGTTTGCCTAAGATGTCTACATACGCATTGGAATCAAAATATATGCGTACGGTATCAGCCGTACCCCCTTACAGCTCCCGATGAGCGTCGGAGGCCTCACAATAGTCCTACGACGGCCTACCAGAACCCAAGAAGGGCCCCAAGAAGGCCACAAGGGCCTCTAATAACATCCCAACCGAATCACACGAGAGCCCTGCGACATGATTGGTCGGGCTCTGAAGGGAGCGCGCTGCTTCGGACCGCCTGATACAAGAACACCCAGAACCAGGGACCGACCACAATTATGTTTAAAACGACATGGCGTTTACAACGGGCAACGAAACGAGGCCCAACGTGTCAAACCCAACGTTTGAAACGAAGCCGGTGCCACATGAAAACGAACGACGAAACGGGGCGTTTGAAGCAACAACGAACAACGAAACGAGACAGCAACGGACAACGAAACGAAAAACAATAACAAGGGCCCAAACCAAGCTAAACAGCGTTGCGGTCGGTCATTCCTTGTTCAGAGCTAACGTTTGGAGACCTCAAGCGCTTCCACGACCCATCCCAGCAACCACACATGCAGGCATGGACCGCCACTCACACTGTGCCATGGCCCCCCCAAAACGCATGCAGTGTAACTAACGCGTGATAGCCCTGCAACAAAGCTTCGATAACATGGGTAACATAATGATGCTCGGCAGCGCGACTGAATAGGCCGGAAGCATCATTTGCGGCTTCCAGCAGCAGAAACACGTCAATGTTATATCGGCTGACGGCGCTGAATGGGGAATGTGTGACGTGCGCATCGGTTGCTCCTGGCATACGCAAGAGCTGAGGCACGGAACACCATGGCTTGAGAGTGCGGCATGTGGGTCAATGACACAGTGAATGAGGCGGGAGATTCTGCAGACCTACGTCAATGATTTACCATTACTTCCGCGTCGCAGACAAAGCCGACGCCATCAAAGAAATAGACGGCGCGCCTTTCGGGGGCAAGAACTGGTCGAAGGGGTCAGATAGCCTCAACGCCGAATTGGTCAGCTCTGAGCCGTATTGCCAGAAGATACCACCTGACCATCGGGATCATACAACATCATCTGGAATTCACCACCACAAGCAGGTCACATCATCTGCAAGGAGGGAGGAGAGAGGTGAGTGAGAAAGAGAAAGAGAGAGAGAGAGAGAACGATAGAAAAAAGAGAGAGAGAAATAACAACAATACATATAGATAGAACGAGAGACGTTGCCAACGTATGGCAAACCACCGAGGCAATGTCCAAGCCGCTTGAAGCAGGTCAAGTCTTGTAGACCAAGGAGGCTCCAGGAAAGACGTGAATGATGGACAGGCCTCTGATCAGCTCAACAACAAAAAACGCCGACCCCAGAGGCGTGTGGCAGTAGATTTCTCACATCCACTCATGCTTCCAATCTTGGCACGCTCCACCCGACACTTCGCGCCCAGGATCAACCCATGCACCCCACCACGTCTAACATACACGCCCTCGGCATCCCAGCCCTCTCGAGTTCTGCTTTTTGAACCCCCCACTCTACAATTCATCGCCTGGGGCCAAACTCTGAGCCCTACCCCGATCCTCACCGCGCCTCGGCACCCCTACCCTCCCAGAAACAAGAACGGCTTAAACATAAACTGGTGGCGCTCCGCGCGGATTTCTTGCATCTGCGCGGGACCCCCCTCCCTGGCGCGCGGAGCGTGCCGGGGGCGGCGCCAGAGGCGCCGCCGGGAGGCCCCAACGCGGATCCAAGACATCCGCGCGGAACGCCAAACGTCTATGCTTGTGCCGTGTTTCCTCCTTCGGCACCCCGACCCCCACCGCGCCTCGGCATAGTAGGGCTGGGGGGTCAGGTCTGCAGAACACCCCAAACGGACGTCAAGGGGCGCAACCAACCTGTTCGGTCAAACTGACATTGATGCACCACACCTGGCGTCAAGCTCAAACTTTGGATATCAACGAACGGTTGGACTTTGCACATCTTCGTCGGGCTAACTGGCGAGGCGATTGATCACCTTGACGTCCATGCTTGGTGGTCCTGCAGATGAAGGCGCCCTCTGACCCTCGGCACTACCCAATGCATCCCCACCCCCATCGACGTCTGCTCTCGGGACCGCCCACCCGAGCATTCCTGGCATGGTGCCGACGCTGCTCTCCCGCCGACGTCCCCGTGCCCGAGAGCTGCCCCCCGCCGACACCCCTCGGCTCTCGGGGGCCCGAGCTCTCGAAGCCCCTCGTCCTGCAACTTCTCGCAAGGAGCCGAGCCCGTCCCAGACCCCCCCGCCCACGTCCTCGCTCGCGGGAGCCTGTGCTCTCGAGGCCCCTCGTCCTGCAGCTTCTCGCCAGGAGCCGACCGTCCCAGACCCCCCCCCGCCGACGTCCTCGCTCGCGGGAGCCCGTGCTCTCGAAGGCCCTCGTCCTGTCCTGCAACGTCTCGGCAGGAGCCGACCCCGTCGCAGACACCCGCCGACGTCCTCGCTCTCGGGAGCTGTTCATCATGCTCCTCCCCCCCCTCCTCCTCCTCCTCCTCCTCCTCCTCCTCCTCCACCTCCTCCTCCTCCTCCTCCTCCTCCTCCTCCTCCTCCTCTCCTCCGCCTCCTCCTCCTCCTCGTCCTCCTCGTCCTCCTCGTCCTCCTCCTCCTCCTCCTCCTCGTCCTCCTCGTCCTCTCGCCCTCCTCCTCCTCCTCCTCCTCCTCCTCCTCCTCCTCCTCCTCCTCCTCCTCCTCCTCCTCCTCCCCCCCCCGCCTCCTCCTCCTCCTCCCTCCTCCTCCTCCCCTGCTCCTCGTCCTCCTCGTCCTCCTCCTCCTCCTCCTCCTCCTCCTCCTCCTCCTCCTCCTCCTCTCCTCCTCCTCCCCCGCCTCCTCCTCCTCCTCCTCCTCCTCCTCCTCCTCCTCCTCCTCCTCCTCCTCCCTCCCCCGCCTCCTCCTCCTCCTCCTCCTCCTCCTCCTCCTCCTCCTCTGCCTCCTCTTCTCCCAGATCCCCCCGCCGACATCCTGGCTCTCGGGAGCTGCGTCATTGGAGTCCAACACGCTGACCCCTGTCCTGACGAGCGTCTGCACATTGGGTGGTCTCGAAACCCACGTGGATTCTCGAATGCGCACGTCCTTTTGCGCTCCTGATCCTCCTCCTCCTCCTCGTCTTCCTCTTCTTCCTCCTCCTCCTCCTCCTCCTCCTCTTCCTCCTCCTCATCCTCGTCCTCGTCGTCCTCCTTCTCCTCGTCTTCCTCCTCCTCCTCCCCCCTGTCCTCCTTCTCCTCCTCCTCCTCCTCGTCTTCCTCTTCTTCCTCCCCTCCTCCTCCTCTTCCTCCTCCTCATCCTCGTCCTCGTCGTCCTCCTTCTCCTCGTCTTCCTCCTCCTCCTCCCCCTGTCCTCCTTCTCCTCCTCCTCGTCTTCCTCTTCTTCCTCTTCCTCCTCCTCCTCTTCCTCCTCCTCCTCCTCTTCCTTCCTCTTCCTGCGCTTCCGACTGAGTGCCCCTCCTCCGTATCCTCCTTCGCCACCATCCCCTCCCCCCAAACTCGGCGTCGGGACCCGGTCCTCGCTGGGCGCGCCCTGGCCCGGAAAGTCCGGAGCGGATTCGGCGCCGTGCCGACGAAGAGCGCCCCCCAGAGCCCCCTGAAGAGAATTCCACAAAACGTCTGAAGACCTCGCCCTTCGATCCTGGTCCATCCTCCTCGCTCCTCCTCTTCCTCTTCCTCTTCTAGAAGAAAACACTGCACAAGCATAAACTGTTGGCGCTCCGCGCGGATCTCTTGGATCCGCGCCGGACCCCCCTCCCTGGCGCGCGGAGCGCGCCAGGGGCGGCGCTGGTGGCGCCGCCGGTGGGGCCCAGCGCGGATCCAAGAAATCCGCGCGGAGCGCCAATGTTTATGGCGTTTTTTCTTCTTCGATCATCCCCCTCGATGTTGAATCGTCGATCCTGGCCCCCTCCTCTGCTCCGTTAGTCCCCAGCCGCTGGAGGAGGGCGGCGCGGCGGCGCGCCAAAGTCGTGGACGACGAGCAGGCGGTAGAAGTCAACGAGCGCCACGGGCCGGTCCGCCTTCTGCTCCACGAGCTCCCAGAGGCCTGCGGGGGCTCGAGGGCGGTATCGAGAAGGGACAGCGACTGGGCATCGGCGGTGCAGTCGGCCCGTATATCACAAGGATGCGCGATGAGGATGCAAAGGCCTTGGAAGGCCGTCTCGAAACCTCTCGAGGGGGGCGCGGCCAACAAAAGTGGCCAGTGCTGACGCCGTTGCCATTTCTGTTCGCGCCAGGCATTTTCGCTTGACTTCGGTCGAGGAGGAGGAGGAAGAGGAGGAGGAAATGGGTCCTGAGGGCCACTCCGGGCCGAGGAGGCACGGATGCAGAGGTACCCTTGGGAAGGGTGCCCATCCTTGCCATGCGGGCTGACGGTAGTTACGTCGCCGGCGGATCGGCGAAGGACCCTCTCGGTGCCGAGAACCCCCGCGTGCTCCTGGGCGCGGTGGGGCACCCAGGCCCCGAGGGGCGATGCACCGGCGATCATCGGGGGGATGCCCCCCCTCCCTCCCTCCTCCCTCCTCCCTCCTCCCTCCTCGCTCCTCCATCCTCCATCCTCCCTCCTCCCTCCTCCCTCCCTCCCCCCCTGCTCCCTCCAGCCTCACCCCCTCCTCATCCCTCCTCCCTCATCCCTCCTCCCTCCTTCCATCCCTCCTCCCCCGTGCCGTTGCCCCTGATGATCGCCAGGAGAAAACAACTCGACTGTGATCCAGTCTGGGACTCGGACTGGGACTCGGACTCGGACTGGGGCCGACACAGCTCAAGCGAAAAGAGCTTCTGAAAAGCTTCTCCTGCGGATCCCCCCTGTCCAAGACATGCTTCCCTCAGGACTCCTTTCCCTCACGTCAGGGTGGGGAAAATCCTCATGTGTCTAGGCCACCGCACTCAAAACAAGGTCACCTTCAATTACATCGACATGGCGGACTGGGCGGATCGGCTGAGCCTGCCCAACGACATATTATCCAGAAGCTTGAAGCTCGCAACGACTACACGGATGCAGGGCGGGACAAATTCAACGTGTGCCTCTCGCCTCAGCGTCGCAGAACTGTCCCCAATGAAGAACACAACTTCTGACTGGCTTTCCGAGTGAAAGATATCCCAAACTCAGAATGGGGCTCACGCCTCAACGCCGCGCACACCAAGCAATTGCACCTGTGCAGGGCTGACGATCAGAAACCAGTTTGAACTTAAAGAGCTCTAAATCTAAACGAGTGAGGTCGGCACCATATCAAATTGTTGTCATCGAGTGAGACTTACCCAGACGTGCTTTCATGCAGCGTGAACAACCAACAACAGCAACAACACGGATGAAAACTGGTGTCTCTTCCAAACGTCCCCAAGCCGTGCTTGCGCTCAGCGGTCCTTACCTGGGTTGTAAGGACGCGCTCCCTTTTCAATGATCGTCACTCGCCTCGAAATGTTAAACAATTCAGCGGAGGTTGCATCATCCAGATGAATCGACGGGCACCGCCACAGCGCGGTGCTGATCCATACATACTTGTCTCTTCCTACTGGGGAGACCCGCCGCCGGAGCGCGGCTGGAGGGAAGGAGGGGCGGAAGCGGAAGCGGAAGGGGAGGGGAGGGCCGAGGGACGCAAGCGGCCGTTCATGCTCGGTGCCCGCTTGCTGATGCTCCACGGTGGGTGACCCAAAAGGGGGTCCAGCTGAAAAGGGGTGGTGCAATAGATGTGGGGCAATTGTATTGCAAATGTATTGCGACGGAGAGTGGCATTGCATTGTATTGCAAGTAACGCATTGCACGCGGAAATCCAGCAATGCATTGCGCCCCGGAATGTATTGCACGCCCCAAATGTATTGCAACCCCACAAATATATTGCACCAAATCTATTGCACCACCCCCTTGTCGCTGGACCCCCTTCTGGGTCAACCCGACTGGACTCCGCCCCAGGACGAGGAGGACGAGGAGGAGGAGGCGGAGGAGGAGGAGGGGAAGGGGGAGGAGGAGGAAGAGGAGCAGGAGGAGGAAGAGAAGGAGCCCCTTTTGGGTCAACCCGACTTGTCTGTGGTTCTCTGGGGGCCCGCACGCGGCCGCCAGGTGGCCGCTCCGTTGTCGGCCCAATGCCGGCTGCGTGTTCCGGGCGTCAGCCTGCTCTCCGTACGCTGCACCCCACATCGTGTACTCACACCCCATGGATCGCCCCTCATATGCACCACGTATTGCACCTCAAATGTGTGCTATAAGATTGAAGGGTCCCAGGGATACTCAAATCCGCCGACCCTGTCGGCGTGTGTGAGGGGCTTCTCCGTTCGAGCCGTCATCTCCGTCATTCTTTGTAATCGTCGTCTCTGTCGTTCCCTTTCCCTGGTACCCCTCTTCCCCTGGGCTCCTCCCCGCTCCCCTCGCCCTTTCCCAGGGCCTCCTCCTCAAGCGCGCTAGCCAAACCGACCTTCAGCAACGTCGTAATTGATTCGAAGGGAAGCCCCTTCCCTTTAATCTCTCCCCCGCCGGGTGGGGGAGGGAGGGTCTTTCCCGGGGCCTCCTCCTCAAGCGCGCCAGCCAAACCGACCTTGAGCAACGTCGTAATCCCACCAGCCCTCTGGGCGTAGGTGGTCTAGAACAGATCCTCTTCCACCCCTCCCTCTTCCCCCTTGGGGAGGGGTTTACCCCTCCCCCTACCCCCTCCCCTGGACCTGGACGGGGGGGGCCGCGGGTAGTTAGAGCGTCCGGAAGCGAAAAGGCGAGAAAGCAAAAATCATTGATTTTCCTTAGGTTTTGGGACGATTTTGGCCTCTTCGGGGCTTCCGAGGGGGGGCGCTAATTGAACCCCCCCTCTTGTTTGATCGATCTCTTCCAAGATGGCCCCAAGAAGCGCCCAGGAAGCCCCAAGAGGTCCCAAGATGGCCCCAAAATGGCCCCAAGAGGCCCCCAAGAGGCCCCCCGGAGGCCCCCAAGAGACCCCCAAGAGGCCCCAAGAGCCCCCCCAGATGCACCCAAGATGCTCCAAGAGGCCTCGGCGAGAATGCCTAATCATTGATTCTACACAGGTTTTAGCCACATGGAGGCCTCTTGGGGGGGGGCACGGATTAAGATGACTCCAAGAGCGTCTGGGAGAGCCCAAAATGACCTCCAAGATGGCTCAAGATATCCCAAGATGTCTCATAATGGCTTCCTCTGTGTGCTGCCCACTTCTCTGATCGAGGCAATTCCTCTGGGCATCGTTTCTGGATGGGCTGGTGGGGATTCGCGAAGCGACAACAATTGAGTCGAAAGGAAGCCCCTTCCCTTTCCCTTCCCCGACGGGGGGGGGAGGGGGGGGTCCCGGGGGGGGTCCCGGGGGAGTCCCGGGGAAGTCCCGGGTCAGATACGACGCCCCCCCCGTAAGTACTCCACGTAAGGATTCTTTCTTGTTTCAGGCCGCGCCCGAGCCGCCCGAGCCGCCCCCGAGCCGCGCCCGGGTGGGGGAGGGAGGGTCTTTCCCAGGGCCTCCTCCTCAAGCGCGCCAGCCAAACCGACCTTGAGCAACGTCGTAATTGAGTCGAAGGGAAGCCCCTTCCCTTTCCCTTCCCCGACGGGGGGGAGAGGGGGGGTCCCGGGGGGGGTCCCGGGGGAGTCCCGGGGAAGTCCCGGGTCAGATACGACGCCCCCCCCGTATGTATCCCACGTAAGGATTCTTTCTTGTTTCAGGCCGCGGCGGGCAGACGGAACACCACCACCAGCAACACCGTCACCATCGCCAGGAACGACCGACCCACCAGCAGCACCCGCGACACCAGCAGCAAGAGAACCACCAAGACCATCATCATGGCCAACAGCAACGGCAGCAAGAAAACGACCACCAGCAAAAGTACACCTCCCTCCCCCACCTTCTCGTCCTTCTCCCCTCTCCCCAAAACCATCCCACAGCCCGTGCCTCTTGCTGCGCATTGCGAACAGGGTCGGCGGCACCGGCCGTAAGGCCTTCGCAATAAATTCACACAAGTACCAATACTCCAAATATTTTCCCAGATTTTCTGGATCTTCGGCTTCCCCCCCACTTCCCGAATTTTCCCTTATTTTCCTGGGCATCGACGATTGTGCTTGCTCCCCCTCCTGAAGCCTGTACATGGGTATCCATTATATCATGTGCTTGCCTACATGCACACCTGTAGCCTTCCATATGTAACACCCCATCGGTTATACAGTGCGGGCGCGGCCGCAAGAAACCCTCGCAAGAAACCCGACCCTGAGAACCCGTGCGCGAGGTACACCCCAGGGGAAACCTAGAGCACCCTGAACACGGCAGCTCCTTCAACGGCTGCAGGAAGTCACCGCGCAGCGCGAGGAGCGAAGAAACCCAGGATACCCTGCATAAGCTCTGTGGACTCGCGTTGGGGGGCCGACGCGTGGACAGTGCGTGCTTGCGCTCGAGGCATCCTCCGATGTGCGTGTCCATGCGGCCTGACATTGCAAACCGTTCCACCACCATATGGATATGTGGGGTCTCGTTTCGGCTCATGACTCTCGCGTGTATCGACTACGTATGCTTCATGAGCCCCAAGCGTTCGATAGTTCTCACAGCAGCACGGATGGAGGCCGTAATATATCCAAGATCGCGCGCTCTCGCTCTCTCTCTCTCTCTCTCTCCCTCTCTCTCTCCCTGGCAAGGCGCTCGGCGGTCTTGAAACTCCTATGGAAGGCAATCCCATCTCAGGCTATACTGCATGAGGCATTCACCGTGCAGGTCCATGAGGCCCTCACCTTCCCAAGCGTGTAAGCGGACCTGAGGAAACTTTGGCAGGGGATCAACCTTGGGGGAAATGGAGAGAAGTTCTGCACCCCTGGCCAATCGTTTCTACATTGGTTCCCCATGCGTTTCTCACCCCCACACCTTCCAAACTTCACCTGGCCTTGAAGGGAGTAAGGGCCTTTCTAAGGCCTAATTAGGCGTGGTGTGGGGAGTTCCTTCAGCCAGGGCCGCTGGGAGGTTTAGACATGTGGAGTGATGAAGCGGTGGTTTGGGAGGACCGGTATCAATCGCTTCATCGTCGCGAACTGACCGTCGACCAACAATCGCAGTGATTGCAGGGCTTCTGAAGCACAGTATTGATATGGCCTCTGGTCCATGTGGAGGTTGTGGGTGGGGAGGTCTCGAAACGGCCCAGGAAGTGCAGATGGCATTTGACTTTATGCTGTGAGTTCGTTGATGTCCCCTTGCTGTCGAACTATATGTAGACGTTGATGCTGGCCAATTTAGCCAATCGTCTGATGTTGACCCGAGCTGATTTTACATGTATGTGGCGACAACCCTGGGTTTACCAACCATGGATCTGTCCTTCCCCACGGGAACCAATTCCCGGGGACTCACATTTCACATCCAAGCTACCAATACGAGGCCAAGATTGTGGCACTACGCGCGGGAGAGGGCCTCCATGGCCCAGCCGGCAGAGCAAGGCGGAAGCGCGATGGGACAATCACAGCATTCACCAAATGGCGATGGCGCAACACACGTCCACGTACAAACTGGGCAAGTTGTAGATCCTCCCTTGGGCGCTCCGTATTGATTTGAACTTTGAAGCGGACGCAACCCTGTCAGAACCCGCGGAGAGAACATACGTAGGACGAACCGTACACCATGTAGTACGCGAGGCAGGCCCGCGCGGGCAAGACAACCTGACATCGGCCAGACTTGGCGTATTCCTAACTCGCTGGTCCCTGCCGCGCTGCCTGGGTACTCAGCCTTCACGTACGTGCGCATGTCGGACAGCTGCCAGAGCTTGACGCAGTACTTCCCCTGCAGCAGCGCCGAGAAGCGCACGTAGAACTCGTGGTCGAAGTCCTATGACTGTGATGTTCCACTCCCGCTTCAGGCGTAGGCGGTTTGGCTGTTTTGGTGGGCAGACTCGTCTGCGTTTAGAGCAGTTTGTGAGGATGTCTCAGGCGGGGCGCCGGTTTCAGCACCCCTAAGGGGTGCCGCCAGGGGTGTTTTCACGGGCCCGTTCACGGCCAGTTTGTGGGGATGTCTCAGGCGGTTTGACTGTTTTGGTGGGCAGACTCGTCTGCATTTAGATCAGTTTGTGAGGATGTCTCAGGCGGGGCGCCAGTTTCAGCACCCCTAAGGGGCGCCGCCAGGGGTGTTTTCACGGATGTCTCAGGCGGTTTGGCTGCTTTGGTGGGCAGACTCGTCTGCGTTTAGAGCAGTGTGTGAGGATGTCTCAGGCGGGGCGCCGGTTTCAACACCCCGAAGTGGCGCCGCCAAGGGTGTTTTCACGGGCCCGTTCGCGGCCAGTTTGTGGGGATGTCTCAGCCTGTTTGGCTGTTTTGGTGGGCAGACTCGTCTGCGTTTAGAGCAGTTTGTGAGGATGTCTCAGGCGGGGCGCTGGGGAGCTCCACGCAGTGAGTAATTTCCCTCCTGAATCATCACCGTCGCCATCGCCATCAATAGAAGAAAACACAACTGCACAAGCATAAACTGTTTTAGCGCTCGGCGCTGATTTCTTGGATCTGCGATGGACTCCCCTCCCTGGCGCGCGGAGCGCGCGCGCCAGGGGCGGCGCGGGAGGCGACTCCGGGGGGGGGGTCCCAGCGCGGATCCAAGAAATCTGCGCGGAGCGCCAAAATTTGATGTTCATGCCGTTTTTTGATTAGTCGAGGTCAGGAGGGCAAAGAGGTTTGATCCTGCCCCAATGCTTGCGAGGCAGGCGGGGATTGCTCACGCCATCCGCTGTGCTCCTGGCCAGGGCCCCCAGCCACCAGGCTGGCTCGTGGGCGCCTGTCCAATGGACCACGCTCCATGGGCAGGTTCGGTGACAACTCATGGGAGCCTCCCATACCATCTTGTCGGCTTTCGCGAATCGACGCTGGTAGACGCTAAGTCGACGCTACTCGACGCTGACCGATCCTAAATCGGCACTGTCTCATCGACTCCCAGACGCTAACCGACGTTCACGACGAAACTGCGAAGGTCAACCAGGCTCCCATGATTTGCTAGCGAAATCCAATTGACCACGCTCCATGGGCAGGGGGGTCATCATCACCATCGCCATCGCCACCAAAATCACCATTGCTTGTTCACCCGTGTCCCCTTGCACAGCCAGCGTTCAATGAGACATCGCAATGTATATAAGGGAACGTATAATGAAATTCGCTGGCCCAACGGGCCAGAGGCGTGCTAAGATCTCCGGTAATTGGTAAACAATATTTCTAGTTCGCGCGCGCGGGGCGGCCCCTGGGGGTCCCTGGATCAAAAGTACCCTGGGCGGAGCCCGGGCGGAGCCCGGGACACTCCCCCAGATCCTCCAGGATCGCCCCAAGAGGGCCCCAAGAGGCCCCCAACACAATCCAAGAGAGGTCCACGGCGCCCAAGATGGCCTCCAGACGGCCCAAGACGGCTCCAAGATGACCCAACAAGCCTCCAAGATGCCCCAAGAGACCTCCAGGAGCACTCCCAAGAGGGCCCGAAGAGGCAAAAATCAATGCTTTTTCCCTAGGTTTGGACAGATTTGGGCGTTTCAACCTTTTCGGTTCCCCGACGCCCCTATACGGCGCAAGAGGCCTCCAAGATCGCCCCAAGAGGGCCCAAGAGGCCCCCAAGAGGGCCCCAAGACGGCCCCAGAGGCCTCCAAGACGGCCCAAGAGGGCCCCAAGAACGCCCCCAACACGGTCCAAGAAAGGTCCGAGACGCCCGAAGATCGCTCCACGACGCTCAGGATGGCCTCCGGACGGCCCAAGACGTCTCCAAGATGGCCCAAGAAGCCTCCAAGATGCCCCAAGAGGCCTCCAAGAGAACTCCCAAGAGGGCCCCAACATGCAAAAACCTGTGTTTTTCCTTTGGTGTTGGACAGATTTGGGCGTTTTAACCTTTTCGGTTCCCCGACGCCCCTAAACGGCGCAAGAGGCCTCCAAGATCGCCCCAAGAGGGCCCAAGAGGCCCCCAAGAGGGCCCCAAGACGGCCCAAGACGGCTCCAAGACGGCCCCAGAGGCCTCCAGGACGGCCCAAGAGGGCCCCAAGAACGCCCCCAACACTACACAGCTCCCGACGCCGCAGCTCCACACTGCAAACGACCACTCGGACAGGCGACCACGGTGCGACATTATGGGCCGGCGGAATGAGCGAAGCGATTCAATAAACAAAAACACTCGGAGGTCCGCGCGGATTTCTCGGATCCGCGCTGGACCCCCCTGGCGGGCGGCGCCTATTGCGCCGCCCCTGGCGCGTTCCGCGCGCCAGGGAGGGGGGTCCAGTTCCGATCCAAGAACTCCGCGCGGACCTCTGAGTTTTTCGGGCATGGACAGACCCTCCTTTAGCACTACGTGGTTCAGTGAAAACGACCTCGGGCCCAAACCTGGCGGGCGCAAGCCTGGAAAATGTCGGCCGCGGCGCCCTCTCGAGAACCGACATTGGACAATTCACTAATCGACGTGCCAGGGCGGGAGTCTCTGTCCACCCCCGATCAGGACCCGCTTGCCTCCCGGCGTCCGGCAGACGGGCCCACCCCTCCCGAGCGCCGCCAGTCCCGGCGCCCCTCCGCGTGCCTCCCGAGGGGCCCCCGGAGCCCTCTGCCAGACCCCTAGGGGCCGCCAGGGGGGCACCTCCGGGGCGGGTGTGGCCACATCACCACACGCGCCGCCCCCGAGTTTCTACGTTTATGTCATTCTTCATTCCCCTGAGATGACGGACGCTTGGCTGGGCAGCGTGCTGGCGAGACAGGCACGGCGGTCAACGGACCCCGAACGGCCAAGTTTGCTGTACATCCCTCTGTCCTCTCTCGGTCTGCTCTCATCTCATCTCCTCCTCCTCCTCCTGGTCCTCCTCCTCCTCCTCCTCCTCCTCCTGGTCCTCCTCCTCCTCCTCCTCCTCCTCCTCCTCCCCTCCCCCTCCTCCTCCTTCTAGTTCCTCCTCCTCCTCCTCCTCCTCCTCTTCCTCCTCCTCCTCTCTTCCCCCTGCTCCTCCTCCTCCTCCTCTTCCCCCTCCTCCACCTCCTCGTCCTCCTCCGCCTCCTCCTCGTCCTGCCTCCTCCTTCTCCTCCTCGCTCCTCCTCCTCCTGCTCCTCAGCATCAGCATCAGCATCAGCATCAGCATCATCAGCATCAGCATCAGCATCATCAGCATCATCCTCGTCCTCCTCCTCCTCCTCGCTCCTCCTCCTCCTCCTGCTCCTCCCGTCCTCCTCTCCTCCTCCTCCTCGTCCTCCTCCTCCTCCTCCTCCTCCTCCCTCCCCCCTCCTCCTCCTCCTCCTCCTCCTCGTCCTCCTCCTCCCCCTCCTCCTCCTTCTCGTTCCTCGCTTCTCCTCCTCCTCCTCCTCCTCGCTCCTCCTCCTCGCTCCTCCTCCTCCTCGCTCCTCCTCCTCCTCCTCCTCCTCGTCCTCCTCCTCCCTCCGTCCTCCCGCCTGCCGCCCTGGGCCCCTGCTCTCCTCCCACGTCCTCCCGGCCCCCGTCGGTCGGAAGGAAGCAGGCAGAAGCACGAAGCACGAGGGCGTTGAGAGTAGAGCGGGTGCCAGTCACCAAGGAACCTGCCGCAAGAAACCCATCCATGAGAGGAAGAGGAGGAGGAAGAGGAGGAGGAGGAGGAGGAGGAGGAGGAGGAGGAGGAGGAGGAGGAAGATGAGACCCCAAGACGTCCATTGGATTTTTGGTGTGGGAACGCCACGCTTTCCCTAGCAGAGCCATCGAAGCCCAAGAAACCCAGGGCACCCTGGAGGCGAGCAGGGTGCTTCTTGGCGTGCGTCTTAACTGTAGATTGGGTGTCCGCCCGCCCCCTGAAGGGGAACGGAAGAGGTGAAGCCACGCGATCCTTGAGGTAGGAAGGCGCTCAAAGTGGATTGGAATCTGGGACTCCAAACACACCTGCTTTCAACGACCGATGGGTGCTGGTATCGCCGTTTCTCACCCGTTCTCTCGCGGTCCTCCAGACCCGACCCGAACGTATGCTTGCACTGAGATGTTCCGACATTCGCAAACAAATGCAAAAACGCGTACACAGGCGGGCGGGCAAAAACAACATCATTTGGCAAGCACCCTGCGATGACGGTTCAAACCGGACCGCCATCGTTTCTTACCAACGGAAAACGGGAACGATGACTAAGCAAGAACAGCAAGAACAGCATCCTTGAAACGGAATGTCGCCCCGTCACTGCCTCAGACAGAGCACTGACTGTTGGGCCTAGGGACGGGTGAGCACAGCATACAGATGGCACGCATCAATTCACAAACTGCTCAATGAGAATGCAGTCCGACTCGTTGGCCTTCAAGGTCTGCGTAGTCTTGTTCCACGGGAAATACAGCATGTGGACGATGTGGGTCCTGAGCAAAGGACGCTTGGATATTTCATCCAGGGCAGTGTACAGTATTCGGCCTGTCCTAAGAAAACATAAAAAAGTAACGAAGCCCATATTTTCCAAGTAAGTCTAGGACGTCCGAAGGAACACCAGGGAGGCTCGCCGCCAAAAAAGTAGGAGAACGCCTGCTAACCAAAGGAACGACCGAGCCCCTTTTGAAAAGTAAGTGTTCCTTATGCAAGCCAGACCCAGTAGGGGCACGGCCACAGACACAGTCCGTTCAGGAGGCGCGCGCGTTTGACAAGGAATGACAGTGTGAAACAGCATACGCATGAGTGTCAAATGATGCTGCCTGGAATATCTGGCAATTGCAAACAACTCCGTGACGCGTCTTCTGTGAGCAATCGCGCGCAGACTGTTGTACATCGTTTGCTTGGTTGCGCTCGCCATGAAACGGAATCATGGCCGCAGGAATGCGGGCCAATAGGCCAATACTACTAAGCAATACAAGTACCCCTGACCCTTTGGGAGCGGACCTAAGTTAGGAGGGCCCACAGCAGTACGGATAGGGAGTCTTTCTCTTCTGCAGGTGTCTCGGACCACACCGCCCAGGTTTTCCATCCCTGATGCGAAGACGGGGACCTCAGTGAGGCCACGACTGCATCGTGCTGTCAGGGCTAGGTTCTTCGCCGCATCGCCTTCACCGTGCCATCGAGGTAACGCGAGCCTCTCCGCCGAGAGCCCCTCGCCCCAAAGGGACCCCCCGGAAACGACAGCCACTCCGGGGCGGACTGGCCCGAGCACGAAGAGCACGCGGGCGCCCCCCGAGAGCGAGGGCGTGCTGCTGATCCTCGCGCCGGCTGCAGCTGGTTCGGCATCTCCTCCTACAAAATGATGTTGGACGATTCTTTGAACTCAAAACTTATTAAAAGAAAGTCGAACCATACTCTAACAATCGTCCCCAGATTATGTTTTGACTATTTTTGAATACTCCTCCTGTAGAGGGATGTGCCCGACTTAAATCTATCTGCTGAACCAGTATGCCACAATCACGGCGCTCACCAGTTCGCGCGCCAAACGCGGGCCAACCGATCGAATGGCTGTACCCGACCACCGAGATGGCCAACACGACTTCTGGCCAGAACGCGCACGCGACGCTCGGTTTCGATCATGCGGCAACATGCTGCATCGGACGCGCCTGCGGCCCGATGCCCACGGCCTCGATGCGACGACCGCGATTATTTCGCGGCGGGCGGCCATTCAGCCCCAGACATGCGACGTCCTGATTTTTTCAGGACGGCGTCCCTGGAAGTCCCGGTCCTTTCCCCACGACCGTTTTCTTCGTCCTGAGTCCTTTTCTGGTCCCGAGGCCCGGCGAGGGCCCCCCTAGGGCCGAAAATAGCCAAAAACCTCCCGTCGTGGTGTTTGTTACGATCATGTCTGGGGCTCCGACGCGTGGCAACCTGGGCCACTCGTTCTTCGAACGTGCACCATCCGTGACGCTGCCCGTCTCGCCCCTGCGGGCAGCGCGCCGCGGGCATCGAAGGCGGGGGGGGCGGGAGGAGGCGCGACGCGGTCCGCCACCACCGTGCCTGCACGGTGTGGGCGTCTTAGATGTAAGTCGGGCGTGCCCCTCTACAGGAGGAATACTCAAAACTAGTTAAAAAAGGCGGGGGACGATGTTTCGACTATTTGTTGACCATGTTTGAATATTGCTGGTGTGTTTTCATTTATCGCCCAAAATGCGCCTGTAGGAGGACATGCCCGACCTAATCTTAGATTGCCGGACGCTGCTCTGCAGGGTTTCGTGATCTACGAAGATGTCCCCACGTCTCGCCGCGCCCAGCTGCATCCGCCCCGCCCCTCTTCCGAGGCCAGGATCCTCGCAAGAAGCACTCGTGGGTCCGCGCCCCCGACGCCACGCGATCCCTCGCGAGAGGAGGACCCACGCGATGAACGCGAGGGGCGACAAGGGGAGAAAGGGGAAGCATCCGATGCTGGGCTTTCTTCCATGTCCACCGCCTGGCGGTCGATCTCCCTTCTCCTGCGGGAGGCCGTGGATAACGATACGTTCGCCCTCCACTCCTCCTCCTCCTCCTCCTCCTCACACGGTTCGGCCTCCTGAGGACTCCAGGAGAAAAAAATCCTCCTCCTCCTCCTCCTCCTCCTCCTCCTCCTCCTTCTCCCCCCCCGTGGCGCAAGTGTAGATCCACAGTCCCCACACCCTGGGGCCATCGATGCCCCGGGCGGTGCGGGGTGCGTGAGCTCCCGTGTGGCGCTCCGTACAGCAGGATCGCCACTTCGCAGGAAAGCAGCGCGCACGTGGCACCTCGGCCCCTCGAGGTGCCCTGTGCTCACGGGCTTGGGGCGGAACGACGTCTGGATTCCCCTCGGAACATCCTGCACCTCGCGAACCCCCGCATGATTCGGAGGAGGAGGAGGAGGAGGAGGAGGACGAGGAGCACGGAGGAAACGAACGACGAGGCGACAGGGGAGAGAAGGCACCCGGGGCGCTCTGCTCTGGGCTGTTATTTTCTCTGACGGCCCCTGGGGCCCGTGGACGGTGGGCGGGCGTGTCCTCCTACAGGCGGACTTCGGACGAAAAGCAAAACATACTCAACAAAATACTCCAAAATAGTCGATAACAATAAACTCCAAAATAGTCTAACAAGAGTCCAACAATCGTCCCCAGACTATTTGTTTTGACTAGTTTCGAATCTTCTTCCTGTAGAGGGACGTGCCCGGTTTAAGGGTATCCGGGTATATGCATCGGCGACGCCAGCGTGGAGAGAAACAAGCTCCACATAGAGCCGCATCGGCGATCCACCAATTTTGCTTCGGCGACGTATCGGCGATGCGGCGCCATCCTCCGACCCCATCTACTCCGACCCCATCTGGAAGGCCTAGGTAAAGAGCCGAACTCTATATGCAGCGACGCTCTTTCCCGCCCCGCACTGGTGTAGACGGGATCCTGGCGTGAACATTTCTCGTTGTCTCTAGGAAGAAAGAAATGTATGCGTCACACCACCCCGACGTCGGCCCCGACCCTCTAAACATCCTGGGATTGTGAAGCAACCCGCCACTGGTAATGTATACGTATGCTCTAATTTCCCAGGAGAGCCCAAAGTCGAATCGATAAGTCGGATCGGCGATCGAAAGGAATGGGATCGGCGGAAATCGACAACCGAGTCGGAAAGTTGAATCGGTAGATACCGGCAGGCTCGTAGGCCTCCATTGAGAAATCGAAGCCCAAATCGGAATCCGAAATCGAATCCAATCGGAACCAGAAGCCGTCGAAATCGAATCGACTCGACTCGAATCGGAGGAATCGGCATGAACCCTGGCTTCCGACTGGGAGTGGAAGGAGCCGGGAGCCCGAAAACGGCCGATCACCTCAGGATCCGTTTCCCTCGGTCGGGGAGACCTAAATCTCGGGTTCGGGGGACTCGGGTTGGCCTGACGGGGCCATCATGAAAATGACGAGACCCAATCCGGAACTTGACGCGAGCTCCCGCTGCGAACATCCCCCGAAAACCGGACCGTCAAAACCCAGGATGCGCTCGCCAAAAAACTTCGGCTGACCCGAATCCCGGCTTACTCGAGTCTTACGTTTCCCCGACAGCTTCCGGCTAGGAGTGGAGGAAGCCAGGATCCGAAAACGGCCGAACACCTTAGGACCCGTTTTCCTCAGGTCGGGATGGACAGACCCTCCTTTAATACTACGTGGTTTAGTGGTTTAGTGAAAACGACCTCGGGCCCAAACCTGGCGGGCGCAAGCCTGGAAAATGTCGGTCGCGGCGCCCTCTCGAGAAACGACATTGGACAATTCACTAATCGACGTGCCAGGGCGGGAGTCTCTGCCCACCCCCGATCAGGACCCGCTTGCCTCCCGGCGTCCGGCAGACGTGCATGCACCCCTCCCGAGCGCCGCCAGTCCCGGCGCCCCTCCGCGTGCCTCCCGCGAGGGGGGGCCCCGGAGCCCACCGCCAGACCCCCGGCCAGAGGCCGCCGGGCACCCCAGGGGGGGGGCCTGAGGTCGGGTATGTCCTCCTACAGGCGGATTTGGGAGGATCAGTAAAAAATACTGGAAACAATAATTTTACTATTTTACTATTTTGGGGAACAATACGAGAGACAGTAAAACGATTGTACTATCTTGGAATACTCATCGCTTTGAGGGTGGCCACAGACCACCCCACGCGCCGCCACGCAGCGATGAGCGGCCAGGAACGGCGCCAGCCTCTGTCTCTCCCGCTGCTCTCACTGCACCCCTTCGCGCCCTCCGCCGCCGCCCTCTCCCCCCCAAGAACTGGACTAAACACGCCTCGGAGGCGAACCAGACCAGTCGCATCGGGAACCTGGACCACCCCCAGGCGAGACGCGTCCGCGAAAATCGTTACAGCCTCTGTGCCGTCGGGGACGGGGTCGCAGCGCGCCTCCGGAGGCCTGGCGGCGCCCCGCTCCGCTCCGCGGCGGCGGGGTCCGATGCAGCCAGGGGGCCTGTGACACACCTCCCCCTCCCAACCCCTCCTCTTAGGTCGGGCATGTCCCCCTACCAGGGGATGTTGGACGAAAAATGAAATATACCCGAAAAATACCGACAATGATCAAAAGATTGCTCAAACTTATCGTCCCCATACTATTCTTACCATTTGGGAATGTTCCTCCTGTAGAGGGACACGCCCGAGTTAAGCCTCCCCCTATTCCTCCTCCGCAGCCCCAACCTGGTGCGGCGCGGTCCCGGTGGTGTTGAGGACGGGGCACTTCAGGTACTTCTGCCGTCGATTGAAGTGGGTATGGAGATCTTGCCTCCCCTCCCCGCGGGCACGAGGAACGCGTGGGGTCGGAGAGCGGCAGGAGTGAAGAGAAGAGGGGGAATGGGGGGAGTACTAAAAGGGGAGGAGGTGGACAGTGATGGGGGGGAGGAGGAGGGAGCAGGGTGCGGGGGCCCAGGGTCTCAGTCATAGAGGCGCCAGCGAGTTGCCCGCCAGCGCTCCGATTAGGTGGCCGATCTACGGCGCAGCCCTTCGGGGGACCGCCTCTCGAGCTCCAGAACCCAAAGAATGTCCCAGTATTCGGGTATTTTCCCCGCGAGGATATATTGTCGAGAGCGCCCTCAGGACAGGAAGAGGGGGCGAAAGGGAGGGGGGGGGCAGGCGGAGGGGGAGGAGGAAGAGGAGAAGGACAGGGAGGAGGAAGGGGAGGAGGAGGGATCTACCACAGCATCTACGGTTGCAGTGGTCATAGATGGTATTACATATCATAGGCATTCGAGAAGCTCGCACCAGCAAAAGGCACTAGATACCACGACGGATTTTTCACACGGTCCAGCGGCTCGGACAAACGCAAATTGGGCGTCGCATTGGTTGTCAACATCGACGAGCCTTACGCTTGGGACAGACAGGGAGCCATCAGACTCCAGGAGCGATTCTTCAGGGTGCTGCATGAGTCGCCTCGACTCCTCAGGGCCCCTTCCTGGACGAAGTCATTGCTGTTGCACACGCGCCTCACATGTGGAAGCGCGACCCCAAGGAACGGAACGACTACTGGGACATGGTCAAACGTGCCACGAAACGCTTCCAGCCAACCCTTTGGTTACGCGACGCTTCTAAGGCCTACGTGGCCAATACCTTCTTCAAAGACGAGCACCCTGACACGCACATCCGCAACCTTACGGTGACAAGCAGCGAATTGACTACGTGGCCTGTCGCTCGAAATGAGTTCCTCTCGTCGCCGAGTGCGATGTCATCACCGACATCGCCCGCTGTGGAATCATCGACCATTTCCCAGTACGGCGTTTGCTCGAAGTCTACAGGCACTACGGCAACCTCAGCACGAACGAGCACGTTGCCCAGACCCGAAGAAGGTAATGGAAACAGAGCTCCAAGAAAAAAGTTGCCAAGAAATTCGACAACTCCAACCTGATCCCTGGGGGGTCGACGTCGACATCCAGACCGTGAACGCCGCCGCGAAGATTTAAAGAGCAGGCGCCAAGTCCTTCAAGAAAGATAAGTTCACTCCTATCCAGAGCTACATCACTCGAGACACCATGCACCTTCTTTGGCTTCGTTGATATGTCCAGAAGGCCGTCGCCGACTACAACCGGAAAAAACCACAAAGGCCTCTGTGAGCCTGCTAGGCGTCTCCCACGCGAGCTCGACGTATGTGCAGCTCCTGGAATGCCGTGGGCTGATGTAGTTCGAACGGTCGCCATCGTGCTCGGTCGAACGAGCGGCGGCCATCGAAGTGCGCCACTGGTTCCCGGCAGTGACCAAGACTATCCCGGCAGGGCAGCTTCGACGAGACAAAGAAACATACCTCGACTCCATCACTGGAAACATGAACGCGGCAGCGGCATGCCACAACAGTTCCAAGGAATGGGAACACCTGCGCAGACACCTCAGGCTCGGTGGACGCGCTCCTCGCAAATTCAAAGGCGGGAGGCTCTTACCCATGCAGCACGACATGAACGGCCATGCCATCACATCGGACAGGCGCCAAGCAGATGACGCTTTCGCCTACTTTGCACAGGTTGAGGACGCAGACGAGCTCGTCCGAGCAGCATGCTGCCACCACTACAATGCTACAGCCCACGTCGACGCCAAGCAGGTCCAGTGATCTCTGGGCAATGCACCGCCCAATAATATGGTTAGCGATCTGGTCGTTGACCTAACTCATCCAATCTACGCTGAGACGGCACTCCTCGCACAAGAGCCTGCACTTTCCAAAGCAAGCGCCCAAGTATATTTGCCCAAGCCCAAGTCGAAGACCATCACTATGAATGATCAGCGCGCCATCATGCTGACCAACGCCGTCTCCAAATGCTACTACAGGTGCCTCCGTCAAGCAGGCGCTCGAGCAGTGGAGGTCCTTTTTTCGGCAAGGTCAATCTGTGGGCAGGCCTGGTAGATCCACGGCCATGGCACACCATGTTGCACCACCGCCACCACTAAGCCTCGCGTCCGTCTGGTCGCGCGGGCAGACACGCCAAATGCGCGCGAGAGCGCGGGGGAACTGACGCGCCAAACACGCGCCGAGGAGAACGCGAGACGCGCCAAACGCGCGCCGGCACAGGAGGGAGGGGGAAGGACGACGAAGCGGAGAAGATGATGAAGATGATGCGATATATGCAAAATCATGTCACGAATGTTGCGTGAACTTGTACACTTCTGCTGCCCATTGCTACCGGGGGCGACCACGTTTTCTGCAAAGTGCCCAGTTGCGCGGAGCGCCGTCCGGATGACAAAGAATTGTTTTGACCATTGAAGACTTTGGAGATTTATGTATTTTCTTGTACAGCGCCACTTGATTGCCCAACAATATTTGCGAGAGTTGTTTGGCAGACGCTCTCTCCAATACTGATGCATTCGCCCCTCGAGAAATGAATGAGGGCGCAATTCCCAGCAGACGCCGTAAACATTTGCAATGAGAGGCGCCCAAACGCATTCTGTCGGAATTGAGCAGCCAAACAGACTCCAGCGAACATAACAACTTGATTGATACACAGCTCTCTTAAATGATATATTTCGTCTTATCCCAAACGATGTGCGAGACCATAACTTGTTCAAGTGCTTGAATGTCCTGCTGCCCCCCCCAGCGTCCGTGTCAATTATGCTCCAAATTTGCCATCGCGCGTAATCAACCCTCCAAGGTAAATCGCTTCTCGTGCAACTTTAATGCATTCGCCTGACGGCCTTGAAACGAAGTTGCTCGTAGACATCTGATTTGAAATGTTTTGCCCCAGTTGAGTTCAAGACCGCATGTCGTTCCTTCGCCCATTATTGCGGCAAGCATTGTTTGAAGATTTGGCGGGCTCTGTGAAGCTAGCAGGGCATCGTCGGCATGCAGAATGCGGCGCGATGCCACATACGCTGGCCCTTGTTGTAGATGCACATCACCAAACGCATCGCGCAGCAAAACTGTTTGGATGATGAGGAACAAGTATGGCGATAAGGGGGGACCCTTGGGCTATACCTGCGCGCTGCTGCCTTTGAGATGAGTGGCCCGCGTGATCTACAGTGGTGAAATAACGGGCCGCATAAATCGATTCCATCATTTTTACAGAGCACTGCGGTGAACCAAACCTTTGCACAGCGTGGCACATACAATCTGGTTTGAGTCGGTCGAACGCTTCTGACCAGTCCAACATGAGCAGAAGCATGCCATCCGTGTTGTTCATGTGCGCGGCATCGATCATTCGCCTGATCATCATCAGAGCCTCGCCTGTGCCCGGTTTTGGCAGGAATCCAAATTGAGAGTCTCGCGTTCTTTCTTCTGCTCCTCCTTGAATCAACCTGTTGCGCAAAATAGACGCCGAGACCTCGTGCCCAACTGGCAGCAAAGATATCGGCCTGTCGTCGTTCGCTGGCAGTGCAGCATCCCCTTTTTTGAAAAGCAAAGCGACGTTAGCGGCTCTCCACGACTCTGGAATCGTTCTCTGGCCCCAGCATTGCCGGCACATAGCCAGAAGCACACCGCAGGCAGTGTCATCCTTCGCCAACGTCTTCCAGAAATCGGGCGGTATGTCGTCAGCTCCAGCGGCTCTGCCTTCTCTGCCATGTTGATGGCCCCTGTGTCGATAGGTAAAGTACTGCCCACTGTGTCCTCACGTTCTGGCCGAAGAGCTGGAAACTTGCATTCCCATTGTGTCTTCTCGCAATAGTCTGCCAAGATATTCGGCCTCTCTTCGGCGCCCCCCAGCGAACCATCGGGGCGCTCGATTGCGGCATGCTTTGCGGACCTGGGTTTCCAGAGGTGTCGGACTGCGCCCCAAGATCCAGCATATGTCAGATCCATGAGTCACTTCTGACGGTCTTGCTTCCCAGAATTCCGGATTTCTTTGAGGGGTCTTTTTTTCGTTGGCGTAGTCCCCAGACTGGCGGTAGGTACTGCGCTCTTCGATCAGGTCCAACGTTGATGCACTTGTCCACGGTTGCTTAGGCGGATGCTTGAGCAAAAGCCTTCTTCAAGTTCTCTGCGGGAGTCTCCAAGACGTCGGTGCCTGGTTTTCGCATCCATGCACCAACGAACTCTGCAATAAGTTTGCGCTGGATTTCTGTGTTGCTCAGGGCCTTGAGATCGATCTGATGTCTGGACGGATCTGACCAGTGACAGAATGCAAAAACTAATTGAGGGTACTTGGATGCCGATATGTCTGCGACCATCGGCTCCGCGCCAACGGTTCGACGCGCTATTTTCTTATATGTTGGATGAGCCTGTCATGTATTTGCAACTGCAAGATCACATGTGACACAAGCTTCAAGAAACAACTGTCTGTTGGAAATGGTGTCCATCAGATACCTGGCCAAGTCCGCGCCGTTGGAGGATGGGTTGAACACGCACGGTCCAATAATATCGTCTTCTCCTGGTCGTGCTCGGTGCAACTTTGCATTGGAGTCGCCAAAGATGAGCGTGGCATTGTGGAAAGTAGCGGCCCGGATTACGGCCTGCAGCTCTTTGTGGAAGTTTTGCCGGGCCTCGAAGTCGCGGTTGGCGCCGCTGTGAGGCGGGTAAGCGGTAATCAGCGCGAGCATGCCACCTTTGACTCGTGTTCGAAGCGTTGCTTATCGATCGCTGCAGGCGTTGAAGGCAACAGTGGCGGTCGATGCGCTTGGACCCACAACGAAACCAACTCCAGTATACTTCCGCGTTCCCGCATCCAAATTGCCCGAGAGGAACGCATCGAACCCATCTTTTCGATCGTGCTCAGCTCCGTCCAAATGCGTCTCTTGCACGCATAAAACATTGACCCTGCGACGTTGCATCATCAGGGTAAGCTCGTCCAGCTTCGCAATGGAATCGACGCGCAA